ACCTTTTTACTTTATTTGCATTTGTCTACATTTTGTGTTCCGGGTTGTCGTTTCATCTATTCTTGCTATGGTTTTTGATTCTGTGTAGCATTTATATTGGAATGCAGATGTATCAGTGCATAAAATATTCAGAGGACAAAAATTGATTCATTGGTATAATTTAGACACGTAGCCTTTTAAAATCCAAATCCTACCTTCATCTTTGCTGAGAAAATATCGTTTGTACTGCGTGGGAAGAATTGGGCAAAGACTTAGCCTCATGTTTCTCATGAAGCCTTGCTTGTTACATTCTGAAAAGGTAGACTCTATATTTGTATGTTGACCCTCTGGAGGTTTTGGAGCACAGCTTCCAAATTCCTTCTCTGGAGAGCCTGAAGCAAAGCAAGATCTGCTTTCCTTAGGAAAGAAGGGGTTCATATTCTCAGAACAGGTTTGGGAGATCAAGGCATCCAGTTTTGGTCACCACAGTATTAAAAATATGTTGAGACTCTAGAAAAAGTGCAGAGGAGAGCAACCGGGATGATTAGGGGACTGGAAACTAAAACATATGAAGAATGGTTACAGGAACTGGGTATGTCTAGCCTAGTAAAGAGAAGGACCAGGGGAGACATGATAGCATTCCAATATTTGAGGGGCTGCCACAGAGAGGAAGGAGTCAAGCTATTTTCCAAGACACCTGAAGGCCAGACAAGGAATAATGGATGGAAACTGACCAAGGAGAGAGTCAACCTAGAAATAAGGAGGAACTTTCTGACAGTGAGAACAAATAACCAATAGAAACAGCTTGCCCTCAGAAGTTGAGGGAGCTTCATCACTTAAGGCTTTCAAGAAGAGATTGGACTGTCATTTGTCAGAAATGGTGTAGGGTCTCCTGCTTAAGCAGGGGTTGGACTAGATGTCCTATAAGGTCCCTTCCAACTGTTAAATCTGTTAAAATGTTCTTGTTCTGAGATGGTAAGTATTTCCAATTATCTTATTGTTTGTAAGGGTTTAGCATTTAAACTCTTAAAATCAAGGAATGATAAAACTGATCATCTTTGAGCATTTTCAGCTTCTTTTACAGTACGTCTTCATATTACCAGTTTAAATAGTTATATGTCTCTGGGCCTCATCCTACTTGTACCTAATAATAGCACAAACCTAGCCTAGCAAGAATTTGTTTCATTTCTGTATCTCCATGATGTTGCCTTTACCCCATCTCCAGCTTATGAATGACACAGGTATGGGTTACCCATAACTGTGTCAGCATTGAAGTAGTGTTTATCCAACAGTCAATCATACAAGGAGTCAATCTCAAGGAGATAAGCAATAATAATAGCACTTAGACTTATATATCACTTCACAGTGTTTTACAGCCCTCGCTAAGTAGTTTACAGAGTCAACATTTTGCCCCCAACAATCTGGGTCCTCATTTTACCACCCTTGGAAGGCTGGAAGGCTGAGTCAACCTTGAGCCTGGTGAGACTTGATCTGCCAAACTTCAGGCAGCTGGCAGGCAGCAGAAGTAGCCTGCAGCACTGCGCTCTAACCACTGCACCACCACGGCTCCCTTCATTTCCCTTCTCATGGAGTGGCTTCTGCTGGGAAAATAAGCACCAATCACTCTCCTTGTCATGGTGGGATGGGTCTGGATGAATGTAGTGGGTGTGTGGAATGGTGATGTTTGAAGTTGTCAATTGAGTCTTAGACACAAAGTTCCTTCAATCCATACTTGCATGCCATCAATCAGGTTGTTTCTGATCAATAACTAGTTTGCTTCAGAAGAGTTCTCCATAAAATTGAAAGTGAAAGAGGATATAATATAGTAATGTCATTTCTAGCCCCATAGCAAGAGATCTTCTTAAGGAAGGGCAAGGATACATTTACTGTACAAATGAGGCTGAAGTTCTCCATCATATGAAGACAGAACTGCCTTATCGGTCCTGCTTCTGGGATTTGTAGAATTAGCCCAAGATGTCACCTTGTTAATGTTGGTTTATTCCACTAGCCAGTGTGATATATGAACCCATGTCACATTTGAGTGATTCTGCCTCCTCTATATAGCTCTGCCACAGTCCAATCTATTCCTGCCTATTCAGAATCATTGGGTCAGTTATAGCTGGACTTCAGGGCCCTAAATCCATGGGGCCCCAAGTCATCTGCCAGATGGCTCCAGCTAACTGGAGCAGTGGGGAACCTGGATTGACCTGCACAGAGCACACCCAACAGGTATGTCTTCTCCAAATAGTCTTATTTATATGGCATCGGGGATGGAGGTACTGGATATATACATCTACAGCAGAGGTGATATTCAGCAAGTTCTAACCAATTCTGGAGAACTGGTAGTGGAAATTTTGAGTAGTTCGGAGAACTGGTAAATACCACCTCTGACCCCTGCTCCCATTTATTCCCTGCCTCCAGAGTCACAGCTGATCGGGAGGAAATGGGGATTTTACACTAACCTTTCCCTGAGGTGGGAAGGGAGATTTTACAGTATCCTTTCCTTGCCAAACCCACCAAGCCACGCCCACAGAACCGGTAGTAAAAAAATTGAATGAGCAGATCCATGATCACTGAAGAATCTCGAGATTGGAATCGTATACCTATGATCTCTGAGGAAACACGGAGATAGAGAATGTGGCTTTCTGATAAACTGAAGATTGCTGGGCAGTTGCCCCATCTCCTCTTCTTACTGTGAGCTTCACAAAGTTGCAAAACTTTTTAAAAGTTTCAGCCCATTAGCTATTTGTGTGGCTTACAAAATAAAACATCAATCTGCAATCCTATAGAAACACTTACCTGTGGATAAAGCACATTGAAGTCAATAACACCTTATGTAACTGATATACAATTTACCTACTGGTGTGTGAGGACTATAAAATACTTTTTTCAGAGTCTTCCAATCCTCTCAGGATCAGGTCCCAAGCTTGTTTTATCCCACTTTTAAATTTGACCCTTATACTTTATAAACACCTAAGCATTCATTCTGGGAAATTTACAAACCCATGAAGCATATTTCTGACTTACCAATTCTTTTATGGCAAGAGAGGAAATTGTAGTTTTTTTATGTTGTGCTCTTTCTAGCTATAATGAACTTCCAGTTGTAGGAAGCGTTAAAGCGTTTCATCTTTGACAGATAAAAAGACATTGGCCCAGATCTCAAGAAATTACAAGGAATTTGACAGAATTTTAGCTTGTGTTTTACATGTTCTAAGAGTCTGGGCTGTTTGTATAAAAAATGATGGCCATGTTGTTCCTTGAGGGAAAACAATCCATTATCCAGTTCAGCAATTCAGAACTGTGCAAAGCTTCAGAACTTCAGAAAGTGCAAAAGAGGGAGCAAGTTCTTTGTTTTGTCCAGGAGTCCTCATCATGCAAAATATTTCCAACTCTCTGAGATGCTTGAGGAACAGTCTCCAAGAGGTGGAAAACTTGCATTGTTTCTTGGGTTATTTTGGTTGAATCTAATAAGGATATCTCAACTCTCAATGTTGGTTTTTGTGTGTGTACCATTTTAACTAATCCTAATTGCCTCTTATCCAGATCATGGTTGTGCCAAAAGTATTTTTCAAAACGCAAGTGGACTTTCTTGTTTTTTTTCCTTGAAAACATTTTGCTTCTCATCCAAGAATGTTCTTCAGTAGAAGTGAAAAAGCTTCTTGGATGAGAAGGGCAATGTTTTTCAAGAAGGAAAAACAACAACAATAACAAAGAGGTCCAGTTGCCCTTTGAAAAGCACCTTTGGGACAACTAATCTTAATAGTTGCTGCTTATAATGTTAGGTTACCCCTGCAAGACAGTACTGCAAAACAGTGACCTGGAATCAATAATTTTCTGTACTGAAAACCTTGGATGGGCTTCTTTGCTTGCAAATTCATTGGCATTGCTGCATCCTGGTAGTACCAATTCTGTAATCCCCTTTGGTCATTGTAATGCCAAATCACTCTGCGGGATTGTACAGAAAAAGAAGCAATTTTGTCCTGCAGAAGCTGATTTTAGAAATGACCCAGGCAAGAGATTCCCACACTGCCTGATTTCCCAATCAGCTGCTGTTAATATTGCCCTTCCATCCAGTTGGACAATGCAAGGCATCTAAGAGAGATGCCCTGCATTGACCCTTGCAAGTTTTGTCATGCCCAAAATCCCCAGGAAGGAAAAAATCTCCTTGCAACCAATAGCTAGCCAAATTCGTTGCTGGATCATGTGTCCTGAGTCAAAGGAGGCTTACTCTCAAGTCATCTTGCACAGACAGGCAACCTCAGCATCCTTCCTCACCATTGGACAGCTTGGATGTTGGTGGTGGTACAAAACTGAATAGTCAGAGCCAAGGTTAGAGTTAGGGTTGGGCCACCAAGTTTTGATCCCTCTGCTGTGGCTTTTATGATGACCATACTAAGTGGATGGGGCTTCAATCACGCCCTCCCAATTACCTCTTGAAATTTTTGACCACACCCTACAGTCCACCCACCAGGTTTCTCTAGTACAGAGAATTAGCGTCTCTCCTTGGATTTGGGTTCAAAACCCAGCATCCAGTAGAGTACAAAGCCTTGTTCTTTACCCCTCTTCTCCACCCCCCACTTTCTCTATAGCGACCCTAAACAAGTTTCAAACAACCCCCCACCCCCCAAAAAACCTCTAAGTAAAACTGAGAGGACAAGGCAGACCAGGCCTTCTCGCTTCTCTGGGGCTTCCCCGCCGGAGGGCTCAGAGACCACCTCAGGAAAGATCCACGGCGAGCCTCAGCCCATGCAACTCCACCGCCACGCGTTTTATTTCAAAGTGTTGACTCCGGGATGGGGGTACATTATATACACCTAAGTCGACCGTCCCTCCTCCCTGTCCCTGCAAAGGCAGAGTCTGTGCAAGAGCTGCGAGCGCTTCCTCGTGCAAGTGGCCCAGAGAAATCTAGTCCATTCCCACCTTCTCCGGGCGTTTCTGTGTGTGTGTGCGTGTGTGTGTGTGTGTGTGTGTGCGTGTGAAGTGGGCGCGCGCGCCTGCGTGTGCCTGTGTGTTCAATGCCATCAGCTGTCCGAGTCCAAATCGCTTTTGCTTTCTTCTTGTAGCTTCTCTGGAGACGCCTTGGATGTTTTATTCCATTTCTGGGCGTTTTCCGACTCCTCTGAAGAAGACCGCTTTTGTCGCCGCCATTTCGCCCTGCGGTTCTTGAACCAAACCTGCATTCAAGGGGGAGGAGAAAGAGGTCGTTACTGGCCGTGGGAACTGGGACCCGCGGAGTTCAGAAGTGGCGCCCAGGGAGTGAAGACTTGGGAAGCGGATCCAGGGGTGAAATTCAGCAGGTTCTGACAGCTTCTGGAGAACCTGTAGCAGAAATGTTGAGTAGTTTAGAGAACCCGCGAATACCACCTCTGGCTGGCCCCAGAGTGGGGTGGGAATGGAAATTTTGCAGTATCCTTCCTTTGCCATGCCCCCAAGCCACGCCCACAGAACTGGTAGTAAAAAAAATTGAATTTCATCAATGAGTGGATCCCTGGGGTCCAGAGGTAATAATCAGCCAGTTCTGACAGGTTTGGGAGAACAGATATTAGAAATTTTGAGTAGTTCAGAGAACCAGCAAATAGACTGGCCTGTCCCTCTGTGTCCCAGCTTATTGTCTTTTGTTGCCCTGAACAGGAGGGGAGTGGGGAAGCAAGTTAGTGGGATGGGGGAATGGGGATGTTATAGTAACCTTCCCCTGCCACGTCCATAAAGCCACACTCACAAAACCACACCATGCCCACAAAGCCACGCCCACAGAACCGGTAGTGAAAAATATGAATCCCACCACTGCTGGGATCACTGAATTCTACTCCTCCCACCCTCGGCTCAACGTCCTGTTCAATGGAGGTGGTCCAGCGCTCAGGGTTAGGGTTGCGTTTCTGGATGAGCGAACTTTAATCAGAAAAGGAGGGGGGGGTTGGACGAGCCCAACAACCCCAGTCTTTTCTTGTCTGCACAGGCGCTGAGCAGGAGACTGGCCACGCTTACCCGGGGAACCGGAGCTCCATCTCTCTTGGGAGTGGACCCCTTGGTCTCGCCACTCAAGTGGGAAGTGTCCATTGCCGGCAGAGTTGCTTATTCAAAGCCAACAGGAGGTTGGCTGCTTGTGAGGCTAGAGATTGAGTTTTCTCTATTGGATCCCCACCGTAGGGGCCGTTGCTTTCTCCTACAATGAAAACACCAGGCGCAGCCTGCAAATTCAGTAGCCTGTGAGTTCTGCTTAGGAACCTTTCTATTTGCAAGAGCATCAGCTTAGGAAGAGAAGGACCCTCACCCTAAAGATCAAAGCAGTGGAGATGTCTTGGAACTGAAATGAATAGCCGGGAAAGAAACGGCAGGGCACGGTTTACGCCACCCTCGGGATCTGGTCTTTTCCCTGGCCAGACCGGTGCTGATCAGGCTTCTGAACCGCCTTTCAGCCCACAGCCTTGCAAGCTATTTGGGCGTCTAAGACAAAGTTAAGGGAGCAACTTGTCTCTGAAAACAAGCGGCTTCAGTTGATGCTTTCCCGGGATTTCAAGCTCTACAACAAAGCGGACTTGCAGATGCTTTTCACCCAAGATAAACCAGGTTGCGAAAGCACGATACCAACGCCCTGACAACTGAAGCCTCTGGTGGCTAAAGGCAAGCAATGGGGTGGGATCTCATAATCACAACGAATTAGGAAGCGCCTCATCTTGTAATGCATAGGAATAGGTTAAGAGAAGTGGGATTTAGATGTGGATGTGGGGTGGTGGAGATCGCTTGTTCTCCTCACGCCTTGGGGAGTCAGAAGAACTCCCTAAACTAAGGCTAGGACCGCTCACGGCGGGGGAGACAGAACGACTTTGCGCTTCAGAGAATTGAAGTCAATCAACTCCAAGCATTCCCGCGCCACTTCCCAAGATACAAGTCGTAAAGAATTGGACTGTTCGGTGGAGTTTACTCCGAGCATTCAGTGGCTGTAGGAGAGCAGAGCTGTCGCGGAGGGTAAAGTAAATACCCATCCACCTGAGTAGAGCAGGAAGGAAGCGGAGATCCCAGGAGATCAAAACCTGGCCAGCGACCGCTTCCGACGAAATCCAGCCCTGCATTCAATGTCTACGTCTTCAGTTGCTCTTGAACTTCAGGAGTCTGGGGGTAAGGATAATGATTATAATAGCCGCGCAGTTCCCAGTAATTCTTCTTGAGGCTGCATATTCTGCAATGAGCTTTGTCAGGATCTAGGCTAAAAGATCCCCAAAGGTTTCTGAATCTTTCCTCTTCTCACTTGAAAGCCAGGGGCTCGCTTCTCTCCCTCTCTGCCCAAGTACCCTGGTGCCAAGCAGCCCCTACCACATCAACTACTACAACCTTCCTTCCTTCCCTCCTTCCTTCCTTCCTTCCTTCCTTCCTTCCTTCCTTTTCCTTCCTTCCTTTCTTTTCCTTCCTTCCTCCCTTCCCTTCCCTTCTTCCCTTCTTTCCGCCTAGAAGAAAGATCAATTTACCTCCACTTTTTCCTCCCTTAAATGTACCCTTCTGGCCAGCTGTTCCCTGGTGCCAACGTCGGGGTATTTGGTTTCCTGGAACAAGTTTTCCAACGCCTCCAGCTGTTCGTCCGTGAAGATGGTGCGATGCCTCCTTTTCCGCCGACAGTGGAGCTGGTTTAGAAGCTGCAGCTCAGTCCGGGACAAGGTGCCCACGTTCATGTAAGGCAGGATTTGATGCGGGACGGGAGACATTAGGACTGAGCCTGTCCCTTCGTAGCCTGGAGAAAAAAGAGCAAACCAGGTGGCCTACCTTTGAACTGGCCAGGTTTCCGGATCACGTCACGCGTCCCATTCCAAGCAGCCCCATCCCACGCGAAAGACCTTGCTTAGTAGAGGCGGCGGATCGATGCTATGGCGGGTTTCCCGGGGGGGGGGGGCCTTCGGTTCTGCACTCGTGGCTGCGAATTGTGGAGAGAGGACACGGAATCGCCCCCTACCACAAATCTGAACTTGTCCCATTCACATCGGTGGAAAGGAGTTGAGATTTCACCTGTCCGGGCTGCAGACTCTTCTCTCTATCTTAGTCCTGGAGAAGCTCCATAAAGCTGCATCACTTTCCAAACTTACACTCAAAATGCATCCCAAAGATTTCCTTTCCCTCTTGTGAACGACTTAACGAAGGCGTTCCCTAAAGACAAGGGTGCTTATTGCCCTAAATATATCCTTTTAGTTATGTAGAAGAGGGCGAGTTACGTTTGTTTAAGGAGCTGGGAATCTACATTTTGCAGCCACTTTTGCTACGAAACAATAAATCCCACCGAGTCGGCACAAGTCCAGACGTGATCATTGTTTCGTAGGAAAGAAACCCGCCCGTTTAAATCGCCACTTTCGGACAGGGGAACTGTTACTTTTAGTGCCAGTTTAAAGTTTTCTGCTACGGAACAAGAAAACTGTATTCAATGAATACCTTCCGGGTTTGGAGAAAGGGGGAAATTCTGAGTACGTTCCTAGAAAGGACCAAATTGGCTTCAAGGATCGAGAAGAAATCGGGGCGCTTAGATCGAGGAGCATCTGGATTTAAAGTAATTTCCTCCCTCGGGATTTAAAATGGTCTGAGGGGTCCTTGGTGCTCTCTGAGCCTGGTTGTTTTCTTGCAGACGTTTCATTACCCAAATTAGGTAACACCATCAGGAGACCCCCACTACCTAGTTAACTAATTTTTGGGTAACGAAACATTTGCAAGAAAACAATCAAGATCAGATAGGACCAATTGACCCCTCATTCCAACCCTGACCTACAAGCTTTCTCCTTTGTTATTATAAATAAGGGTCTTTCAATTTCGTCGCAGCGATGTAAAACACGACCATTGCCATCATCTTGGCACAAGGATGATTGACCAACGCTATAAATCACGAGTGAGATAGTGATTTAAATATCAGGGTGAATCTATTTATATTTTGTTTAATTCTCGGTTTCTGCTGCCCTGCTTTTTTATTTTAATGGGAGTAGGAACGTTCTAATTTTGAATGTATGTGTCTGAAAGTCTATTCCATTTAATATGCTGTTCCAAAGGAATATTTGATTAGGACCGGAAAGTTGAAATCGAATTAAGGAGAATTAGGGCGACCACTTCAGAAAGGAGCAGCTCAGTTATAACTAAACGTGTAATCTGTTTATTTTCAGAGGGCAGCCCTTATTTGAGTAAGGTTTAATGCCCGATGAATAAGCCTTGGGACAACAGTGTCATAAGGAAGGCAATCCCAACGTTGTCAGAATTATTCCCAAGGGAAAGCGTGGGACGCTTTAAATCCAGTTACACGCATTTGTCAGAGCGTGTAAATACAACCCTGTCGGCGAGGAAACCATCACTCGCCCCGGTTCTCAAGCCAAAGTCAACTCGGGTTCAGATAGCTTGGATTTAGGATCCAACATCACTTCCAGCGATGGAATCTACCGCAGAATCCCAGCGTTGCTTCGCATTCCGCCACACGATCCCAGTGCTGCCGGCAGCCGGGAAAAGGAGGAGGGGGCATCCCGAGCACCGCGCCCTTCAAACTTTCTCCAGGCAAAGAGAAGTTTCAAGAGCCGGCTGTCCCTTCCCACCTTCGGCCACAGAAATCGCGCCTCTCTGTCGGGGAGAGAACCCCTTCCAGCTTCCAAAGGTGTTTTTATTTCCCCCCCTCCCCTTTTTTTTCCAAGAGGCAACTGAACTTTCTTGTTTTTCTTTGAGGAACGGAAAGTTTTCAAGAAGCTCCTTGGATGATAAGGGAAACGTCTTCAAAGAAAAAGAAGAAAGCCAATTTGCCTCTTGAAAAGTAAAAGGGGAGGGGGATGGAGAACCATCTTTGGGACAACTAAGACCTGGATGGCTGAGGACCTCCATAAGACTTTCCAGCCTCATTTCTCTTTGTTACTTTCCTAAGAAGGTACCTAGGGCGGGGCAGGATTGATGGAGGGGAAGGCAAGCCGCACTCCGGAGGGGATTTTGCTTTCTCTCTCTTTTTTAAATTATTTCGCCTCTCCTTCAATCCCCCCGCCCGGCCTGGAGAACCCCCCCCCCCCAGCAACACGGACGAGTGGGGCGAGAAGGGGGGGGGCATTTCTGCCTTACCTGTTGCTGGGACGCAGGAGCACTGCTGAGCGCCGAAGGGCTGCACGGCGCCGCAGCAAGAGGGACCCACGGCGGATGCCTGGACGTGAAGTTGCCCGTAGTAATAGTTGCCGTAGCCTCCCAGCCTAGATCCACCGAGGGCGGCCAGGTTAGACGCCGGAGCCACGGCCCGCGAGTAATATCCCCCGTAGTCGCCGCCGGCGGGGCCGTAGATAGTGTCCCCTCCGTGCAGGCTGGCCGAGAAGACGACGGGCGCCGCGCTAGGCTGAGGCTGCTGCGCGGGGTGCGGAGGTTGATGCTGCTGTAGCAGCAGCCCCGACTCCTTCCCGCGGGGTCTGGCTGCCAAGATGCTGTCGATGCTGAACATGCCAGCAGGCATCCCCTCCGGCGCTCTGCTCGGAGGGAGGAGGAGCAGCGGCGGTCGCGGCGAAGGGACCTTCTCCTGGAAGAGGCAGGCCGAAGTGTGGCCGGAGTTGGGCCGTCCGGAAGGCCCGGGGGACGAGGGGGACGCGAGCCTAGCTTCTTGGGGGAAGGGGGCCCTGCAAGGCCAGCCGTTCCTTAAGAGGCCGAGCGTGGGGGAAGAGGAAGGCTCTTCGCCTTGGAACTCCGTGCCATCGTCTCCTCCCCTCCTTTCCTTTCCTTTCCCTTTCCCTTCTTCTCCTGCAGCTCCTCCTCCTCTTCCTCCACCTCCACGGCCGTCCGTTTCCTCCTCCGATGTCAACTGCCTGGATTCTCTAATCCGCTCCGACCTCTTTCCTTTTTTATACCCAGGCAACGTCATCCTGGATTGAATTCCCGGGTCTCTATCGGATCGCGAATAAAACTAATCCCCCCCCCCACTCTTTGGGCGGGGGGGGAGGGGACGCGGAGGAGGCGGGGCCGGTGGGCGTGTCGGCAGGAGGGGGGAGGAATCGGGCACGAAGCCTTAAGGAAAGGCATTAGTGGGGTCGCGCTTTGGTCCTCTGGCTCCTTTGACTCTTCGGAATCCCTCGCCCGCCCCCGAGTTAAGGTTGATCTCTTTCCGAGTGTTGCTACTAATTGCTGCTCGGGTTAATCGGGCTAATGGCGTTGCCGAGAAGCGGCTAACACCAATCTCCGCCGCCCTCTTTTCTCTCTCCTTCCCCAGCCCGCTTTTCTACTGAGCCCTTTTCCTGGGGTCTTCGGCCTTGAGAATCCAAAGCAACAGTGGAGGGAAAGGCGAAAGATTTCGCGGGATCCCGATTTCTTGCCCAAGCTCTGTCCGTGCTCAAGAGGTCCAGGGTTACATTACACCGAAGTCTTGCGAGAAGCTACGGTTACAATTCCCGAAAAGAAGTCCTCTTCTGCTTTGGAACACATTGCTCAAAATGCAGCTTTCATTCCCAGACCCTACAATAAGTTTAAAAGTTTCCCGCTTTCGCATACCCATGTTCTAAACAACAACAACAACCCCACACACTTTCTAAAATCCTCAATTCACAGGACTGATTCTGGACGGTTTTTATTCGGAATCACTTTTCTAAGCGGTCTATTTATCCGAAGGCTTGGGAATTCCCTTCATGGAGCATTTCCTGATGATTTTAGAGGATTTCCCTTCTACCAAGGGGGAAGAAGAAGAAGAAGGCTTCTGACTAGAAAGCCCCAGGGTACGGGGTAGGCTCCAAACCTCAGGTCGGAAACACTGAGGACACAGATCCTACCGCCATCGCGCATATGGCACAAGTAAGACCCGCAGGCGTTAGTGGCGCAGGTTTCAGCGTCCATCTTAACGCCTCCCATTCTCTTCCCCCCCCCCGCCCTTCAGTCCCAACTGCGGGATTAAAACCGGCTGAATGGTTTTTAGGAAAACCTTTGGGGTTTACGGGGCGCAAGTGTCCGCCCTAGCGCCGCCGCCGCCTGTCTGGCGCAGTCGCGACGTTGCGGAACAGAGGTACAACCTTTTCACACCCATCAGTGAGTCTCTGTCTTCACATTTCTCCCAAGCATCCGGCGGAAGAAGGAAAGGGTTCTGTTTTTTCGGGGGGCAGAGAGCAGCCCCCGCATTTCCTCGCTCTGCCCAGATCCATAAATGCTCCTCCGGGGTTGCCTTTTATGTGTGCTGCACCGTCGGTGGGAAAGGGGGCCTCCCGTCCGTTAGAACCTTTGGTTTCTTGGAGGCCTTTCGCTCCTGGAAGCCGGTTTCCTTGTGATTTGCAAAACGCTCCGTCTGTCACGATTGTCTCTGGCAATCCACAGGAGGTGAACTGAATCAGATTAGAATATTTACCTCTATCAAAGAAGGTAGGAAATTGGACGTGCGAAACGAAAACAAGCCATTAGGAGCTGTTGATGAAGAACAAATTAGATTCTTTTTTTTCCCCCTCTCCTTCCCCCCCTGGCTTTCTAGTCTTCTTTTTCAACCTCCCATTCTCGGTTTTCCTCAATCTGGACAGTTAACGAGCAGTATGAAAATGAAATCGGAAGGGGTGGCGGAGGGTTGCTTGCCGTTTTCTTTCCTTTTCTTCTCTTCGACTTCAGTCGATAAGCATACGGGCTGAAATCAATTTAATTGTGGAGAAGCACTGGATTTATTTCAGGAAGTCTAAATAGGAAAGAAATAAGTTAATTTGTCGTGAATGGTTAGCCCAGCTGAGCAGAGACTTTGGAAGGAAGGGAGGGAGGGAGGGAATGGGAATGCTACGATTTCCAAAAACTTAACTAGCAGAATTAAATATCGCACAATAAAGATGATGCACGGCGTCTGACACATTTATTCTATTCTTATATCTGCCAGGCACGGTAACCGCGCTTTCTCCAAGGTCTACCTTTTGACATTCCCAGATAAGTTCCCCTTTACCGGCCCTTCCTCTTCCCCATTCCCACCATCAGAAAAACTCAAGTATTTGACATGAAATTCTAGGCTAGATGCACCCGACGCCGGAAATTTCACGCAGCTCTGGAAAACCCTAAACTCAAAGCTCTTTACACCAATGCAGCCGTCTCTTCTTTGCGCGCGGGATTAAAGATGCGGAACCAAGAAGGGGAGGGAGGTCAGGTGTGAGAGGAGTCGTTTCCCCCCCCCCCAAAATGTCTTGCCCTCCTTTTGCAAAGCGGTCGCCCGATTCGCAACTTTGAGTCTCTCCTCCGCCCCCATTTGTACTTCCCGACGCCGTTTGCCCAGGCTTCCCAGAAACGGACTTTTGGGCCTTTTAAGAACCAAACCTTTTCCCTTCCCGAGACCAAAGCGGGCTCTGAAGCAACTCAGGGGACCAAAAATCGGCCTGGGCGGCGACCTGATAAATATTACACCAACCTTACTCCAGAATGGCTACATCTTTACCGAAATCCTGAGTGTGCGCGATCTCTGGGGCCACTTGGCTCGCCAGAAGGAGCCCCCCAGAAGGGTTTGTCCAGCGAAGAGGTGCAGTTCCTCTCTTTAGTTGTTTCTCTTTCCGCTCCGGCTTCAGCTCGGGCAGCGCGTCCTTGGCTCCCAGTCTCTTTCGGAGAGACGAAGCCGCTTGTTAGTGCGAAGGCCGGTCAATAGGGCGCCTTCGGAAGGCTTCCCAAGAGAACGGGGCTGGCCGATGCTCTTAACTCGCAACGTTAGCTAAAACCCGAGATCTGCCGCACTTCACGTCTAGGCTAAATCGTGTTCAAACAAGAGCCATAAACGCAACTATTTCCCCTCCGCTGTAGATGTTGCCCACGGCGGTATTTACGTGCTCGGGAGGAAAAAGCAAAGTATCAAAGGTCATTGGGGGGGGGGGATTCCGATCTACGGCTGTAAAACACACTTGGTGAAATAAGCGGCTTTGGGAGGAGGAGGATTTGATCCGGGAGCATTCACCACTGAAGCTGCCCTGTAGACCAGATTCAGCAAGAAGTCATTTAGGTCGTTCATCAAAGTTTTAATTACGGATTAATCGGGAAGGGCGCACTCACCCCCTTCTTGTGAACAGTACCGTTAGGCAGAAGCAAAGGCAACTATTCTTTTGCACCTAAAACTAGAAGATTATCCAGTTTTCTTTACAAACCGGTTTAGGATCCCGGCGCCAGAAAATGCCAGTTTCTTCCAAGGAAGCGCCCCAGCATTTGTTAACAGCGTCCGAGGGAAACCCTACAGAATTCCCTTGGTTTAGCATTTCATAAGACTTTTTTCTTTTTTTTCTTTTTCTTTTTGCTTACTTTAAACATCGGAGTCAATATTAGCTGCAAACTCAACTCCAGGTAAACCCCCCTGGAATTAACAAGGCTCTTGAGGTCCCGAGCTCCCCTTGCTTTCGTTTTAATCCCTCTCTTCCCTAGGCCCCGTCTACCGGGGCTGCCTCTCGGCGATTAAAGCGGATAATTTGAGGCGTTCTACCTCGGGGAACGGGACGGAGGTGTTAGTCCGGGGAATCTAAGCAGCCGCTTTACTCCAGATCCTGATCCGTCCCAGTTTAACTTTCATAACCCCCCCCCCNTTAACCTGAGATATTGGGAAAGTGACTGAAAGGACCTATTCAGGACAGCTTTGCCTGGAGGTTTTAGGGAAGAAGGAAGGGCCACCAACTTTGTGAAAGCAGAGATGCTCAGGGCTCAGTTGGAAACTGTAAGTTAGAAATTACAGACCTAATAGAATAGAATAGAATAGAATAGAATAGAATAGAATAGAATAATAGAATTCTTTTTGGGGCAATTGTGATTGGATACCGAGATAATTTGTCTTTGGTGCATATGTTCTCAGTATACAAAAAGAAAAAAAAATACATTCGTCAAGAATCATAAATACAACACTTAGTGAGAGCCATAGGTTACTAATAAACAATCAAATCATTGATTGAAACAAAACAATATAAATTGTAAAGATACAAGCAACATGGTTATAGTCATAAACACTACCATTGGTTAGAGATAGTGGGGCCAAGGACCGAAGCTTTCTTGGGAGTAACTGCTTTTCATGCCAGCCAGACCCAGGTTAGTCAAGAAGGCCTTTCACACAACATGATTTTCTTTACTTTTGTTGCTTAGATTGAAAGCAATTTTCCAGCCAAGTGTGAAATCTTGTGAGTCTGTTCTGATGAAAGAAAACCAACCAACCAACAGTGACAATTTCTTCTTCTTGCTCCCTTTCCCTTTATTGAGGGAAGATTTGGGATAGATTTGTAAGAAAGAATGGGGCTAAAGTACAGTCTATAATTTGCGCAGGGAGTAAGGGCTCTTAAACTGAACGGATAGGAGGTCTAAAAATTAGATGTCAACAACCAGGAGGCAATCCTATTGGAAAGTGTTTACTGTAACCTTTGGCATGAGCAGCTCAAAGCTAAGCACTTTAGAAGCCCATTCATTTCATTCATTTCAGTAGCAGCATTCAAGTCTAAGCTGAAACGTAGTCATAATATTTAGCTGTATTGTATTCCATTGATTTTCATTACAGTTCGA